AAAAACTACCCTATTCCAGACAAAAACTTACCCTATCTCAGACAAAAAGACTACCCTATCCTAGACAACAAACTACCCTATCTCAGACAAAAACTACCCTATTCCAGACAAAAACTTACCCTATCTCAGACAAAAAGACTACCCTATCCCAGATATGGAGCTCTGAAACAGTGACCCTATTGAGCGGCACATACCCGTAGAATAATTATAATTTTAAATAAATATTGAAACTGATTAATCAATCAATTAGAAATGGAAAACAAAAGCATTTAACTCACCTGAGTAGGGGCTGGTACGGCAGACATTTGAACCTGGCCTGGTACCATAGCAGGTACTGCCACAGGAACCCCATTTGCACTTTGTGTCATGATGTACGCTTGTGGGCCTTGTTGGGTTTGGAGATAGATCACTTGGCCCTGTAATTTATAAAATTAAAATCAAAACAATAATCATTTTGTTCTTTCTACTGTCCAACAAATGTGAATCTTATAAGCAACATAATGTAGCTTTTGTCAATCCAGTTCAGGCAAATAAAATTGGCACTGGTCAAATCTTTGTGTGATCATGACTGGACATCTTTTACTTATTGACCAGTCAAACTTGAATCTTAATGCCAGACACTGCATCTGCCTACCCACAATCTGTTGCAGTCATATATTTTTCCCCATTAAAGGTTTCAAACATACCATTTGTGTAGGCTGTTGCATTGTGGGATTACAGCAGTCACAGCAGCCATTGGTGCAAGCACAAATAGAGGCCCAGATACCAACACAGAACTCAAGAATGGCAAAGATGATGACCAGGGAACCCATGGCAACACTTGTGTTGCACTCCTTTTCTAGTGATATGTATTTGTAGCGCGTACGATAGTGTTGGCTGTTATAAACATACACATGTTTGTTTGCATAACGACAAGGAGAGCCTTCTGTTATGACTGTTGCAACTCCAATGGTATACATAATGATGATTACTGCAGCAAATACAGTAGAGACAATACTAAAAGCAAGGTAGGTCCCAATCTACAATAGAAAATTATATGCAAAGTGTGAGTCTTAACATTTGCATTCTTGGTGGAATAATTATTAGGTTAGTGTGTGAAATTGTATTTTATTTTAAACAACATTGTATTTTATTTTAATTAAACATGTCAAAGTTAGGAACTTTTTAATATAAATTCAATTAATTGACGCCTGATTTCATTAGTGATAGTAAGATTGGTTTACCAGTGGCCTAGATGCTCTTCCATCCCTAGCATTGCTGCGCTTACTTCCATGCACACCAATGACTCCAGTGATAACAAACTAAAGAAAATAAAAAATATTAACTTAATACTTCTCAATACTAATGTATAATTGATAAGCTACATTAATTAAATACCACCATTTTAATTATTAGACAGAAAACCAAAATTTTAAAAGACATTTGACTGTGGCAGTTGTTTTGCGTTTCATATATCAAAATTATATTTTGTGAATGTCGACATTTATAAACGGAAGATGAGAAATGACGTCATACATAATAATACTTATCAGGATATTTTTATTTACTTTTTTGGGGTGCGAAAAATTATTGTTTTTGCTGCATTTGTTGTTGAAGTTAAATCAATA